GAAATGAGTAATTTATTAAATCTGGCATGATGGAAAAGTCCCAAATAAATAAAAATAAACTGAATTATTTTGTGAAGTAATAGACTGATTGACGATTAACACAACCAGGACCTGATATGGACCTGATTTTTCCCTCCCAATGTTTCCATACACTTTAAGTTTAAACTCATCCTGGTCAGTTTGTTTCTTTACACCTGTAGACAAGAGATTTCATGAAACTGTGTTGGAACAAATGGTTTACCAAGACTAGAAAAGCACCCCATTCATATGGGTCAGAATATATGTCTCGGGTATTTATTTATTTATTTATTGCATTATTGGAGGCACTGTAAGCCTTTCTCTCATCCTACGTATCTGACACAACCAGCCCAAGCTTTGCAAAGAAATTCACCTCCTCCACCCTAAAACATGTTTTATTAGATGTGACTGCTCTTGGCTTCATAATAAATTTTGAGTGCTGATGTTGGCGTGACTATCTGAATCGATTTGTCATTTAATTAAAAACTAGCAGTGCTGCATGTCCAACAGTTGCATAGACCTCATCTCTTAGAATAAAGATTTTTAAACATGCATCAGGTCTCCTGATGCATGCTCAATAATCCAGGTAGAAAAATCTAAAAAAGTTAAGTCTGGTCCTCTGGACATTCAAAGAAAACAAAACAAAGCAAAACAACAAAAAAATGTAGAAACATTTCGTCTCTCATCCGAGAGACTTCCTCAGTCTGAGGAGCTGTATTCAGCTCAGTCTCTTAAATAGCACCTTCTCAGAGTGGATCAACCAGTTTTGCTGCTGACAACCAAAACCAGCTGATCACATGCTCAAGAAGGACCATCAGCCTAACAATGGATCATTAGCACACTGATGGCTGTTTACTATTCACAGAGGGCTGAGTAATACTAGCAATCACAGCATTGTAAGAGGGGGACAATTGAACCCGGAGGCCTCTACCCCTGTTTAACGATGGACGATTTCTTTTCACAAAGATGGCCTCCTTTACTCCTCTCTCAAACCATCGTTCCTCTCTGTCCAGGATGTGAACATCTTCATCCCTGAAAGAGTGACCGCTGGCCTGGAGATGAGTGTAGACCGCTGAGTCCTGGCCTGATGATGTTGATCTTCTGTGCTGGGCCATCCTTTTGGCCAGTGGCTGTTTTGTTTCCCCGATGTAAGACTGATCACAGCCCTCCTGACACTGAACAGCATACACAACATTACTCTGTAATGTTTGAGAGAGGAGTAAAGGAGGCCATCTTTGTGAAAAGAAACCGTCCATCATTAAACAGGGGTGGAGGCCTCCGGGTTCAACTGTCCCCCTCTTACAATGCTGTGATTGCTAGTATCACTCAGCCCTCTGTGAACAGTAAACAGCCATCAGTGTGCTAATGATCCATTGTTAGGCTGATGGTCCTTCTTGAGCATGTGATCAGCTGGTTTTGGTTGTCAGCAGCAAAACTGGTTGATCCACTCTGAGAAGGTGCTATTTAAGAGACTGAGCTGAATACAGCACCTCAGACTGAGGAAGTCTCTCGGATGAGAGACGAAACGTTTCTACATTTTTTTTTTGTTTTGCTTTGTTTTGTTTTCTTTGAATGTCCAGAGGACCAGATTTAACTTTTTTAGATGCATCAGGTCCTTTTCATTCAAAGACACAATATAAAACAAAAGCTATTCTTGACAGGATTGCTTGGGTTTGTTGAGCTGATTGTGCTCTGCTGCTTTTGAACTGTTCTATCTTAAGGGTAAAATAAACCGCGTGGCTGCTATAGTTTGTGCTGTGAGATTCTGGGGCACTGTTTTACACAAGCAGTTAGACTTCACTCGATGCTTGGATTTAGTTTTTCTGGTGCTGCGTTTCTCAGGGGTGTGATCAAACACGATAGCATAATGTTTTGCAAAAAATGCTTCACACACATCTTGTCTGCCATATTTCGCTGGTGTCATAAGGCAAAGTTGTACGACTTTACGGTCTAATATGCCGTTCAATTTAGATCTTAAATTCACGTACCAGTTATTAAACTTCATCAAGGCTACATTTAACAGACTTTAAACAGCTAATTCTGTTTATGTCACTAATTCTTGTTTATCGGCGTTTTCTGTAATACCCTCCATCTTTGTTGACACTTTTCTCAGGTGTTTTTGTAATATCAGTTCTGCTGGTTTTGTTTAATTTATCTATTATTTGATCAGTAGGTTTGGAAAAAATAAAGCGGGGTTTGTGTACTTACTGTCAGAGGAGAGAAGGGTGTGGCTCATTACACTTTCAACAGCTGTTCTGCTCCTAATCCAAGAAAAAAAAGGACATTTTTTCCCATTATTTTATAAATAAAGTATTTTAACAACCACAAAAACCTGATGGGACTAATCAGCAAATTGTTTCTTACCAAGTCAGCAATCACTTTAAAGCACCCGGTTATTGTTTAGTTCCTGCTGCTGCACAAGGACAAGAGAATCAATTGGAGGAAGACTCATTACCATTTTTAACAATCAATGGACAGATTTATTGCACCGTGTCTGCAGCTCGTTTCCCACAACATTTCTGCAGAGACAATTATCTTGATTATATTCTGTTGTAGACATTGTTTTCAATTTTGGAGCTACAAATGACACTGGCAGAAAGGCATCTAACACATTAATGACCACACAGCAAAGAGAGCTGCCAGCGCAGAATATACAGTTAATCTGCTCATTTTTATTGATATTTTGTTAGTGAAGTGTGAGAGCTGTTTATGTTCATAATGCCAACTTTTATTTAGCTGCTTTAGTTCTGTTTGTGAATTATTGTAGAGAAGTTAAGCAGTGGGCAAAAATGTCATAATCCACGAATCGTCAGGAGTAGGACAGCTGTCAAGTGGTGACGTCAGGGTTCAAAGGTTAGCTGTCTGCTATGTTGGGCTGCTTTTCGTTGAGTAGGTTTTCTACAACATGAAGCAAATACACACGACTAGCAAATATTTGATAAAAGAAGCAGAATTCACTTGAGGTGCTTTGCTACAGTCTCTACACTCTTCAGCTCCTCAGACTGAAGAAGTCTTTTGGATGATAGACGAAACGGTTCTACAATTTATTTTGTTTTTTGAACTTGTCCAGATTACCTGGATTATTGAGCATGCATCAGAATAAAAATCTACACTCTTCAGTTTTGCTCCACACTACCGCACCGGTTAAAGACCTGCCCACAGCTGGTATTACACCCCCACCCACCCCCCAACACGCACTCAGACCAGTTTATGGGACCACCTTGTTCGTGTTTCCAAGCGGACTAGTTCGAGGTTACGATTTTGACATAAGCAGACAGCAGCAGATGAACCGTTCAGCTAAAGTGTAGATTATGTCTGAACCTCCATTTCCTCTCTGATTGTGTTGAGTGTCTTGTTTTTGTCAGTTTCTGGTATGGTGTTGGCTCCAAAAATAGTGTTGTGGCGTGCACTAATGAGGTATAGACCTTCCTAACTTTATTGGACAATAAAAAAAGGTTAAATTGTGTAATCTGGACCAGTTTCTTTAGGCGAGAAACATTTCGCCCCCCATCCAGAGGACTTATTCAGTCTACGGCCTGCCAACCAGATCTGTCCCATGGTACAATGGGACAGATCTGGGTCCCAATTACATCCAACAATAGCAAACTTATAAAATGTACAAACACCAAGTAAATAAGGATCTAAGATATCAGTTAAGATATATGCTAAACAAATGCCAAATGGTACGTTAAAAGATCTAAGATATACGCTATGCACTATTAGTGCAAAACAATACACCGAACAACAGCAGCACGATTCTCATCGGTTCTGTTTGGTTATAATTTACATGCTTAATGCGAGCGGAGTTGGGCTCAGAGCCCCAAAATTAACATAAACTAGGATTTATTTCAAGCATGCAACAAAAATACAGAAACAAGGCACCAAAAGTGAAAAAGAAATGAATCTACAGCAGCAAGGTCCTATTGGCAGAGTGGTTCTGATGACTGAGGTTATCTTAGCAACATGGTCCAGTTTGCAGCATGATACTGTTAGCAGTGAGGTTTGGTTAGCAATGAGGTTTCTCTTAGCAACATGGTCCTGCATGGCACTGTTAGTGGCGTGATCATGTTAGCAGCATTTTCAGGTCTTGTTAGCAGGTCCAGTCAGCAGCATGATGATGATAATAAGGACCGCAGCAGCTGCCTCCCAGACTGCCCTCCAGAACCGCGTCCGGCAGACGGAGAACATCCAAGGTTCCCCCATGGAATCAGGCGGGCCCGCAGAGTTCGGTCCGTGCAGGCAGACGGAGGCTCTTGTTAGCAGCGTTAGCAGGTCTAGTTAGCAGGTCCCATCAGCAGCTTGATGATAACAAGGACCGCAGCAGCTGCCCTCCCAGACTACCCTCCAGAACCGGGTCCGGCAGATGGAGAATGATGATTGTCCCAGTAGAAAAAAAAATGGTACAAGTTTCACCAAAAAGAAAAGAGTCCAATTTTTAATTGGTGCTAAATATATTTTTAGTAGATGACGCTGGCTGAAAATAGATTAGCCACTTCACATTTTTGTTATATTTGTCATATTAGTGACTTTGACCGGGGGATTTCATTGCCTCATCACCCAGCTAGCCAGCTCTTATCATGTGGCAGGTCAGGAGAATTTGCCAAGACAGCAACAGTTACTTGAGCCCACTCAGATGTGTCCTGTTTTTCTTTACTGTTGGCAACCTGTAGGGAGAAGTACGCTGCTTGGAGCATGTGGGTCAGCTCTTGTAGTCACTTGAGCCAAAGCAGTCTGCTGGAAAAGCAAACTGGTGGCATGATAGATTATAAGGTAGATCACAGGAGTGGGTGTTTAAAAACGAGCAACTGAAGGAAAAAAATGTTACTTAAGATATGTTATGAAATGTCTTACTTGCAGTCTGTTCAGTTGTCTTGTATTTTTATATTTTTGTTGTGGGTTATTAATGCATTTTTAACCTCTTATTCTTTTGATGTTATTTTTCCTGCAATCTAATGTTGACTTTTTTTCTCTTATGCTTCCAGATGCAGTGTAGACTTGGCTGGTGACTGACTGGTCTGCAGGCTCGCTGCTTCGCTCGTCCCTGGAGTTACCCTGTTGTGGTGGGGAGGGGACAGATTCCTGCACTCCCCTCCTCATAGTCTCTTTGTTTGGATAAAACTAACCGGCTGCTGCTGGAGTACGCAGCCGATCCTCGTCCGTGTTACTTGGCTCAGTGCTCCTGACTGAGGAGAGCGCAGAAACCGCACAAGATTCACTTTTAACCTGCTGGTCCCTCCCGGCCCCGCCCACGCTCCCCTGACACCATGGTGCTGTCACAACGGCAACGAGATGAGCTGTAAGTTGTCACTGCACCTTTCAAAACATGTTGCAGAAACGTGCCAGACTGAAGTCGTTGATTTATAAAATGTGACCTCCTGGTTGCTTTTGCATCATGGGATATTTTATCTTCACAGCTGATCAGTACAACTCGATACTTGTGACGTTACTGTGTAACTTCAAAAGAGTAAATATGGTTTAGATAGATTTTTTTGTTTGTTAAATATTGGATTACTTTGCTAATGTGTGTATAATTAAAAACTTACTATCATGAGACAACTTCCCCGTCCTAAACATCCCAAAATGTTCGGTTTGTCATACCTATGATACATTTTGCATTTAAAAGAAATTTCAAGTGTTTGTTGAGGATTAGCTAACTATTCATCTGATTGTTTTGTTATTTGATTTTCTTTAATCAGACACATTAACATTTGAGATTGCTCAGCAGGCAGATAATTTATTTTAGAGTTGAGTGGTTGTGGTGAAATTATGGTGCTTGTTTGACTAGAATGCCTAATCTGAACAAGTTTAGCCTTTAGCAGTTTTTCTGTTTTCTCTTTTCGCTCACTATTTTGTTGACGTCTACTTGCCAAAATTACAAGGATGAGGTCTAAACGTAGTTATTTTTTAAAGTTATCTACGAACTTGAGTACAAATAATAAATGTCTCACAAGTCAGGTCGTGTTTTTTTAAAGCAAATGTTTATATTTTTACTAAGTTTTGTACAATGATTAAAAAGCAATAACACTTAATGTAGCTGCCCATCAAAATTGTGGACCAAATCTTTGACAAAGGGATGACTGATGTCAGGATTCAGTTTGAATCAAGAAATTGAACATTTTGTTTTTCTTCTTAAAAAATAATCAGTGAGTGACCAAAATGTTCTGAGCTCTCCTGAGGGCTGTTGCCAGATGTGAGGCATGCTGGCTCTCAACATTCCTGACAGTCTTTCAGTGTCTGTGGTTGCTGCCATGCAAGGGTTTGTTGGTATGGAGACCTATAAGAATGCTAATGTTTGATGCTATTCAGAAGAACATCCATGGACCCCCTCCCACTTCAATCATCACTCACTGTCCCCTTTTCCAAGGCCCCTTTTCTGTTGCACATGTCTCTGGGGTTAGAGCTTTCAGGAAACTCTTGAGGGACCACTAGAGAGAGCCACATTCAGTATCCATTACATTCCACCTGCTGGAGATGTCTCGTCACTCACTCAGTGTTTTCATTGATTCGGCCATAAAATGTCCCCAAGATCTCATCATTTCCTAACTGTCTCTCTCTCGTGCTGTGAAGACTAATGGAAACAAAGCGGCTGTTTTGAATCAGACAGAGGAGGGACCAACAGACTGATTGCTATTCATGCTAATTCTTTTACTGACCTCCCTCTTTTTTTTTTTTTTGGCATGACCTCATTTACAGTTGGTCAGTGAACAGATAAAGTTTGGTCTTGTTGCTTTGAGTGGCCTGCTTTCTGTTCAGCACATTTTAATTTTATCTGTTTAAAGCTATACAAGACCCCAGGATTATCTTTTTCAAATGTTAAAAAGATCATCTTCAGAGCAGATGTTTGATACCTTTTTTATTTATTTATTTTTTGCTCCAAATCAAAAGCATGGAATGTAAACGCAGCACATCTTTAAAAAAAATTAAAATAAAATAAATATATATATATATATATATATATATATATATATATATATATATATATATTTATTTTATTTTTTATTTTTTTATTTTTTATATATATATATTTTCGCTAAACCCAATGCAGAACTGTCAGAACCACAGTCAGATGCTGTTTGTACAGCATCTACACCACTCTTATTTTTGTCTTTTTATTTATCTTATGAAAGAATATTTGTGTTTCTTTGCAGGGTCAGGGGACTTATCCCTGGAAGCATGTTACAAAAATAAAATACTGAACACAAACTGCTCTTCTAAAAGTCCCTGAGGCACCGTGTGCAAATGGGCCTTTGCTTTTGTGCTGTCTCTCTGGTTTACAAAGAAAAAACCCTTAGCCACATCCATTTCTTATTCAACTAGAGACATGTGATTTAAGAATTGTTTGTGTTCCCATTGTTCTCTCTGAATTTAGTGACGGAACAGAGCCACAGACAGATGTTGACATAATGACAGTAGCAGTAAAAATATATTTTTACAGTATATCTAACGCATACATTTATTTATTAATCTTTTATTCAACCAGGCAAATCCCACTGATATCACAGATCAGTAAATAAGTTTAGTTAATGGATGCTCAAACTCTAGATCAGGGGTGCCCACACTTTTTTCAGCATGCAAGCTACTTTTAAAACAACCAAGTCAGAGTGATCTACCTACTGTAAGGCTCTGTTTACACAAAAACAACCTCTGGAAACTTTAGTTTTTTCTATGTTTATTGGGGGTAATAAAAATGAGCGGGTTTAAATGAAAACGTTGTAGTTTCTATGTCAGTTGGGTTGCCAGATAAGAAATTATGAACTATACTATTGTCGCTTTAAAATGATAATATTTTGACGTAAACTGTCGTATGTGCTGAGTAAAGATATTCTAAGATGAGGTGTGTGTTGTGTTTATTGAACATGTGCACAGAAAAGGAGGGGGTAAATAAGACATTTTACATTTATCTGACAACCCTGACCGGGTTCAGCTGCAATCGTTACGCATGCAGCGTTTGCATGACCGTTATGTCCAAACTGGTGATTACACTAATGCAGGGCTTTTCAACTGGTGGCCTGGGGGCCAAATCAGGCCCACTGGTGAGCTCAGTTCAGCCCACCAATGGGTTAATTTTTGAATAAAACTAGATTTTAAACCAAAAATCTATCTTACTTAATGACAATAACTGCTTGATGTCTGGTCCCTGAGCTCTTGGCTTTCAGTAACTGGCCCCCTGAGCAATTTATTTGAATAGCCTTGCACTAATGTCTGTTTGGACCCTGAATTTTATTAGTTTTGCTCCTATATGCTGAAAAAGGGTGAGTACAAAACACTCTGCTCTCTGCCATTTATTATAACTGTTGTTAGTGCAGTATTGATTTGCTTAAGTCAATAAAACTCTGTCATCACCATGTGAGGGGGAAAAACAACTAACATCCCACACCCTCCATAGAAGCGGCATGTTTTGTTGTGTGTTTTGGTGTGTAGCCGGATTTTCAGGCTCATTCTTCAGATCTTAAACTCCTCCTGCTTGCAGTCTACGCTTAGTAAAAAGGTGGTATTTACAGGACATCCTGATGCATGCTCAATAATCCAGGTAGAAAAATCTAAAAAAGTTCAATCTGGTCTGAATGTCCAGAGGACCAGATTTAACTTTTTTAGATATTTACAGGACCTTTACTTTTCCCTGAATCCCTTTTTAAAACATCTCTGGTTAAGTTCTCTTTGATGTTTTCTTCTGGCTTAATAGTTGATCCTCTGCAGTGCTCTGAACCTGTGTAAAAGCAAACCGTCTTCTTTTACTTTTATGTTAATCAGCTTTATAAGAGACTTTGTTCTGAGAGGAAGTTAAGTAAATGCTATTTCCAACTCTCTTCTCCTGCCAGGGGTGTCCAAACTTTGTCATATGTGGGACAAAACTGTTGATATGAAATATTTGTGGGCCACAAAAATTTGGATTTATAAAAAAAAAAAAAGTGTAAATAAAGAAATTGAAACCTGATTATACAGATGCTGGTCATAAAATTAGAATATCATGAAAAGCTTATTTTATTTCAGTAATTCCATTCAAATAGTGAAACTTGTATATTCATTCATTACACGATGACTGATATATTTCAAATGTTTTAATGTTGATGATTATAACTGACAACTAATCCATCCATCCATCCATCCATCCATTATCTTTACCCGCTTATTCTATTTTGGGTCACGGGGGTCGCTGGTGCCCATGTCCAGCAATCACTGTGCGAGGGACGGGGTACACCTTGGACGGGTCGCAAGTCCATCACAGGGACACATAGAGACAAACGAGACAAACGACCATTCACTCTCTCACTCACACCTTGGGACAATTTAGAGTTACCAATCAGTCTAACATGCATGTTTTTGGTCTGTGGGAGGAAACCGGAGCACCCGGAGAAAACCCACGCATGCACGGAGAGAACATGCAAACTCCACCCAGAAAGGCCCCTGGACCAGGGTTTGAACCAAGGACCTGCTTGCTGAGAGGCAGCAGCTGTACCAGTTGCGCCATCATGCTGCCCGCTGACAACTAATGAAAACTCCAAATTCAGTGTCTCAGAAAATTAGAATATGTGAAAAGTTCAATATTGAAGACACCTGTTGCCACACTAATCAGCTTATTAATCCAAAATACTTGCAAAGGCCTTTAAATGGTTTCAGGCTACACAATCATGGGGGAGACTGCTGACTTGACAGTTGTCCAAAAGACAGTCATTGACACCTTACACAAGGAGGGCAAGACGCAAAAAGTCATTGCTAAAGAAGCTGGCTGTTCACAGAGCTCTGTGTCAAAGCACATTAATAGAGCGGTGAAGGGAAGGAAAAGATGTGATAGAAAGAAGTGTATAAGCAATAGGTATAACTGCATCCTGGAGAGGATGGTGAAACAAAACCCATTCCAAAATGTGGGGGAGATCCACAAAGAGTGGACTGCAGTTGAAGTCAGTGTTTCAAGAACCACTACGCACAGACAAATCCAAGACATGGGTTTCAGCTGTCGCATTCCTTGTGTCAAGCCATTCTTGAACGAGACGGCATCAGAAGCGTCTCGCCTGGGCTAAAGACTCAACACTTGCTCTTCTCAAGGGCGGACGTCTTCTCCTCCTCTCCGTCTCTGCTTTGCACTGTCCTGTCTGTGAAACTGTTTAGAGTCTCTCTTCTACATGTCTTCTGACTCATAACTATGAACTTGGAATTGGTCAATTGGTCCCTCAACACAATTGATAACATTTCTTTGAAGAGAAGACAGGCTTTAGGCGAGCCAATTTACCCTGTTGGCACACACGCAGCTGGTTATCTCATCGACTTGAAGACTTGATGATGTGTCTCTATCTCTGT